AGAGATAAAGAGAGAGTAAACACAAATCTCAAAGTCAGAAGTACTCCAGTGTAAAACATCAGTGAACGAGCCCTCGTCCCATTAGTCCGTCTAAATCTGGAGCCTAAACTAACTTACGCTATTACCCCCAAAACCAATGAGCAATCAGACCCTGGCGGGGTCCGCCAGACCAGCGTATTTTTAGAAAGTCTCATCAACACAGATGATTACCAGCAATACAATGTGTGTGTGTGTGTGTTTGTGTGTGAGTGTGTGTGCAGAGTCGTATAGTGCAAACCACGGGGGGGCGACTTTGAGGTTGTAACTGGGGAGGAACTGGGTCGGTTTATTTCTGGAGCATGTGTTGTTCTGGTCCAGGGACCGACAGCTGAGCATGTGCCAGTGCAAGGGCAAGTCATGGTGTCTGTCCCTGCAGCGAGGACCAGATGGAGGTTTCTGATAATCGACATCGCAGCCCGACCTTCACACACACACACACACACACACGCACACACACACACACACACACACACACACACACACACACACACACACACACACACACACACACACACACACACACACACACAGTTTACTTATGTCATTTTTGGGGAAATTACATAGACTCACATTTCATTTCCTGGAGACTTCCCCTAACCGTAAAGATCCCCTCCAGACACAGGTTTGTTCACGTTTATTTGATAGATTTTTTTCTGTTTGATTTTTAAAATACATGAAAATATTAATACAATTACAAAAGTAGCGTGCAAATTTACATGTTTAATTTAAAATAAAGTGAAAAATCTGTAATTGTAAATAATGATAAAAGAGATTAAAGAAAATGTCCTTTCGTTCACATAAAAAGTTAAAATGATTTTGCAAATCTATAATTTGTTTTGCAGATATTCATTGTTTATTTAATAGATTAAACTGTTTAATTCAAGTTTAATACTGTTTATACATATATTTAATATTTTTAATTTAAAAAAAGTATTTATTCTGTAGTGTTACATGGATTTGTTTGTTAACTGACAGATATCTTGTATAATTATGGACGTTTTCAGAACAGAAATGTTGAATAAATGTTGTTTATCAGTGTATAAGCATTGGTAAACTGTCCAAATACAGTTGTTATCAGTGTAAACAGCAATAATTACTGTAATTTCACAGATAATGACTTTTATTACAGTTCTATAACTTTCAAAATTCACATTAAAATAAGAAAAATCTAATAATAACAGCACTCTGCTGTAAATGTAAGCCTGATTATTTTTATTATAGTAGAGTTCACCTGTATTAAAATTAAATTAAATTGTTTTTACAGCATAAATATCTTTAATTAAACATTAAAAAGACAAACAGTTACACAAGATTTTATGTCAAATTAAAGCTAAAAAGTTAAGAGTTATTTTTCTTACACAGGCCCTATAGTTCATCGTCTGCACACTTTCTTCCGGTTGGACAACTGAAGCCTGCTTAAGGTGAGCCGCTGCGTCGCATTTTGCACATCAAACAATTTTAAAAAGCCGGTTTTACGTTTTTCTTTACTTTCCTAACAAATGAAAGACAGCAAAAGGAGAGATGAGTGGCTTCAGGTCGTCTGTACAGAGAGGATAAAACCCAGACAGTCAGTGAGTGTGTCTGTGTCCAACTCTTCCTCACAGGTTAGTTAATGACAGACAGTCAGTGAGTGTGTCTGTGTCCAACTCTTCCTCACAGGTTAGTTAATGACAGACAGTCAGTGAGTGTGTCTGTGTCCAACTCTTCCTCACAGGTTAGTTAATGACAGACAGTCAGTGAGTGTGTCTGTGTCCAACTCTTCCTCACAGGTTAGTTAATGATGTTACTGAGTCAATGTGAGCAGATTGTGTCTGTAGATTGAAGAGAATCAGAGTCTTACTGATGGTGGAAATAAAGGTTTTACCTCCTTAAAACAGCCGTTTTTTGAATGGAGTTTGGTGTGACAGTGTGGAGCAGAGGGGATTTGAACCTTAATAAACTGAGCTGACCGACCTTCTAATAATGAACCTTGTAAACAGCAGAAAGAAACAGGAAGTGGAGATAAACCCCTCCTAACGTCACAGATATAGAAATATGAGATTCATTAAGGTAGTTGTATACGTCAGCACACTCCTCAATATATAGCAACACCGATTATTGATCAGCAATGACAAAACATTATTGTTTGTCCTGCTGGCTGTAGGATTTTGGCTCCTAACAGCTAAAAAGCACCAGTGTTTTTATTTTATGCTTTTAAACTGGCAAAGGCCTCGAAATTTACATTTACCACCCGTCAAATTAGAGGAACTTGTAAAAAGCAATTAAAGAGACACAAAACAAGTACAGAACTCTGCACACACATCATTCAGGCTTTAACCACTGACCCAAAAATCTGCTTTTTTTAAAGCTTTTGTCCTCAATTAACAGGTCTTTAGTCTGACATGTGTCCCCCCCCCCCTTAAGTCAGACCTTGCAACACAATCCCTGCAGAGTGTGTGTGTGTGTGTGTTTGTGTCAGCCTTTTATTACTGCATCACTTTCATTTGTCTCCCTCAGAAGCTTCAGACCTCTATTACACAGGAGAAACCCAGCGAGTCCTCTACTCTGTCATTGTGTGATTGGCTCCAGCTATTACCAAAGCAAACTGGGTTAGTGAACCACAGCCCTCTTAATCATCTGAGCGGCAGTCGGTTGGGGTGGGGGGGGGATGTTTTCATCTAACCACCTCAAGACCAGAGACCTTCATCTAAATCAATATGTGAAGGTCTGTGGGGAGCCAAATGACAGGGAGCTCATAAGGACCCGCCTAAAAGGGGTTTTGCGGGCTGTTTTTTTTTTTTGCATCAGCGTTGTGAACGCAGTGTGTGACAGCAGCTCCCTTTATTATATCAACACATATCATCCTCATACAGGACGTCAGGGTCACAGACTGCACATCTGCTCTCAGTTTCCTGAGTGTAAATGTGACGGTAGCGTCTTAAAAGAACAGAATGTGTGCAGTGATTCTCTGATCAGCAGCTCAGCGGCACCATAAAGAAAGAGTGGCTCCCTCTGGTGGACAGCTGAGGTACAGCAGGAAGGATGCTGAGGGAAATATGAAGGACGTATTAAGACGTAAAAGTCCTGACCATGAATGTTATCGCTATGTGTGAGATACACTGCCCACATTAACAGTGATCAATGCCAGATTTCTTGTTGAAAGTCACACATATTAAAAATAAGACACAAAACAGGCCCAGGGCTCCCAGAACCTCTGTAGGACGTGATTGTTAACATTCTTTTGTAAAGTCAGTCAAATAAACCCAAAGTGACAAAAAACCCCACAAAGATTAAAAACAAGACACAAAACAAGTAAAAAGACAAAAAACAAGTAAAAAGAGACACAATACACCTAAAAAGAGTCAAATAAGTATATAAAATATGTGTTCAATGCAGAGATTGTAAAGCTCCATGAGCCAAATTGGGACTTATGGTTTTGGCCCGTATAAATAATCCTGTATATTTCGGGGGATTTAGATCGGGACTGGGCAAAAAATGAAATCATAAATAAAAGCAAAGAGCGACAAATTTTGTAAAAAAAGCAATCAGATGCAAACTGAAACCATCCTGATAAATATAAGAAGCATCAAAGAGCACATTTCCTGACAGGTAACTTTATTCTGTAACAAAAACACTTTAAATAAAGGCACGATTCAATACAGTCCCGTTACGTGGCCGATGTCGAGACAGTCCGCTCCTTTTATGTGACGAGTCAAGTATGAACCACGAGGCCAACGAGAACATCAGGAGTCCACTTCGGACCCCCGGAGAGAGGAAGCCGACTTCTCACAACACGGACGATCGACACCAAACTCTTCATCAGGAGTCTCCGGTCATGATGGAGAGGAACTCCTCCTGATTGACTGGCAGAGGAAAAACACACAGAACCTGTTTGTGAAGCACATTTTTATTAATCTGATGATTATTTGATCTATTCTCCTCTTAACTGACCCTCTCTAAGCCCCGCCCCTTTTAACTCTGTGCTCCAATCACAGCTGAGCAAGCCTCGGCTACGTGCTAAGCCAAACTATGTCGAAAAGACAACCACATTTTGAAGATGGTTAGTAAGGTAAATGGTAAACATTAGCTAACTTAAGATGTGACTGTCTCTCGTATGTATACATCTTTTTATCTTTTATCTTCAAAATGTGGTTGTCTTTTCGACATAGATTAGCTTAGCATGTAGCATATCTAAATATAGGAAAGTAGAAAAGTGACCTCAAGGCCTTCAAATGTCTGATTGTGTCCAACCAACAACCAGACGCACAGAAAAGACAAGAAGTGGTATAACAGCACGACGTTAAACAGCCACAGCAGTAAAATCTGACAAAAAAACAAGTAAAAAGAAACAAAAAACATTTAAAAATAGACACAAAACATATAAAAAGAGACAAAACACCTAAAAAGAGACACAAAACATCTGAACTGAAGCACCTTCCGCTACCGATCGCTTACTTTCGCCGTCTCCATCCGCGTCGAACTCGTCGATCATGCTGCGCAGCTCCTCGTCGCTGATGTTCTCCCCGAGTTCTCGCGCTACTCGCCTCAAGTTCCTCAGGCTGATCCGTCCCGATTCGTCGTCGTCGAACAGCTTGAAGGCCTTCATGATCTCCTCCTTCGGGTCTCGCTCCAGGATGCGATCGGTCACTGGCAGACAGACAGGAAGAGGAGTTACTGCGGGGCTTTATAGCGACGGATGTATTCACTCTGCTGCTCTACCCCCGTCTCTCTCCACTCACCAACTTCATTGAAATCCTCAAACGTTATCTTGCCGTTTCCCTCTCTGTCGTAGTCTTTGAGAATCTTCAAAACATCCACTTTCTTCACCTCGAAGCCCAGCGCACGCATCGCCACCTGTTATTAAACAGAATTCAGATGGTTGCAATCTGCAGCTTCACCACTAGATGCCACTAAAATCCTTAAATCGGAAAACAACGTCAACATGTCTGCGACTTCAACCGCTCACCTTCAGCTCGTGGTAGTCGATTTCTTTGTCTTTGTCCGTGTCGAACAACTCGAAAGCTTCTTTGATTTCGTGTTTCTGATCCTCGGAGAGCTCTCTCCTCTTCCTGCGCTTGGTTTTGTCCGCCGCAAGTTCAGTTCTGGAGAGACAGATGCACCGAAGTATGCATTATTATTGCACTTCAATCACAAAAATAACTCAAAGTGATTCACCCATCTACAGAAGCATATTGCATTCACTTGAAAGTGTATTTTTTTGTTTGTTTTTCGGAGTAATTATTTCTGATTTTCTGAATATTTTTTTTTCTTCTGTTTTTCGGACAATTTTTTTTACTGAGTTTAGAGAGCATTTGAAACAATAGATGCATTAATTCCTTTATTGAGAGCTTGATTTAATGGAAACAAACATGACCGGATTGTTTAGTTCAAGTTTTACTTTGACCTGGGTTTAAGACACTGGGACATAGTCCTGTCTTTAAGTCATATAGATGGTATTATCATTAGTTTGTCGACTCTACGCAGCCACCTGAGGACTTGATAGTTGAAGATGGGGCATGTATGTGCGGGCAGGAGTCACCAGAGGTCCATGGAAGTCACATGCAGGTTGGAGGTTCTCGCGGGAGTTCGAAGTATCTCGATAATTCAAAAATTACTCCGCCTCTCGTTCCCACCGGAAGAACGCAGTAATGACGGAGGCTGAGCCGGTTGAGGCTTTAAAGAGACGATCCACTAGGGGTGGGTAAAAATATCGATTCATCAATGCATTGCAATATATTTTTTTATATTTTTATATTGTGCACAGTATAAAGTCAATTTAAAAAAAACTAAATTGTATCATTTTGTCTCCAAATGGAGTAATTTTATTATGAACATGTAAAACTTGTAAAAGTATTTTTGACAAGACTATGAAACACATAAACATAAAAAACTAATCAATCCTGTAAACTATGTACAAATATAAAAAACAAATATATAATAAGAATAACAATAATCATAATAAAAAAAAGAATAAGAATAATGAATAATAAAGAATAAAACAATGAACTGTGTAATGTATAATAACATCACTGAGGTAAAAGTGAAAAAGCACACAAAAAAATAAAAATAAAAACACAATAACAGGAATGTTCCTGAGGTATGCACTAGTTGAGTGCTGTGATTTCAAAGTTTTCACTTCCTCAGATGGTAGTCTTTGAAGCAGTTCCGGCTTGAGGTGAAACACAGAGCAACATCACACTTGCTGCAGTACACCGGTGTCTTCACCTTTCTCCCCTGGTCCTTGCACACCACACAGACCCTCCGCTGGTCAGTGGCAGTTTGTCCAAAGTACATGGGCATACAGGTGGTGCTGAGAGTGGGGCGGGGGGCAGCAGCAGCAACTGCAGCTTGGGCCTTATCGACCATCTCCTTCATGAGGACCTCCCTGAATCTTTTGTGGCTCATGGGAGTCTCTCCTCGTCCGATGGCCAAGAGCTTGAAGAGGATGTAGGAGTTGACGACTGCAATATCTACAAAATGGTAGAAGAAGGTCTTGTACCATCTCATCGTCTTCCCTCGAACAGAATAATACTGGATCATGGCATCTGACAGGTCCACCCCTCCCATGTACCGGTTATAATCTCTGATTGCATCAGGAACAGGAATGTTTTTGTTGTGCCACTGTCCATCCTCCTTTACTCTCCTGCGTGTGGAGTCTCCACTGTATGCCTTGTGGAAACTGCTGCACACCGTCACCTCAGTTGTGTCCTTCCACTTGACAAAGAGGAGGTTGTCCTTCCGCAGCCACCTCATGTCTCCCCTCTCAGCCTTCTTTGGTAACTCGTTGAGTTTCGTTTTGGGAAAGCCAATGTGGGTCTGACGGATGGTTCCACAAGCTGCTGTGCAATTGGTGGCAAGTTGCTGAAAAAGTGCTGGACTTGTGTAAAAGTTGTCAACATACAGGTGGTAACCTTTTCCCAGCAGTGCAAAGTTCATTAGGTCCATGACTGATGTGAAACTGAGACCCTCCCCCTGAACATTGGCAGTTTTTCCTTGGTAAACAAAGAAATTCCACGTATATCCAGAACAGGATTCAGCCAACACAAACAGTTTGTATCCAAACTTGGTTGGCTTGTCTCTCATGTACTGCCTGAAGCCAATTCTAGCTTTACTTGCCACCATACGCTCGTCGATACTTATTTCCCTGCATGGCTGGAAGAGCGAGTTGCAAGCAGTGACAATCTGGCTGTAGAGGGGTTTGATTTTGAATAGCCGGTCGTACTCAGGTGTTCCCTTCTTTTTCTGATTCTCTTCATCCTCTTTGATGTCACATAGATGAAGGGACCAAAAAATGGCTTCAAATGTGTCTCTGGTCATGCAGCTCCGTGGAAATGTGAAGTCGTAGGGCCACTCTCTTCTCCACATGTCTGACCTTGAATGCACGTGGACCATCCCAGAATACAGTATTACAGCCAAAAATATGTAGAAGTTCTCAACTGTAAAGGGAGACCATTTGAAATGCATACCTGATGCTTTTCTTCTGGCTGCATTGTCATTTGTGTTGTTGAGAATTGTGTGAATGGTGCTGGAGCTGAAGAAAAGCTTGAACAAGCTCAGTGGTGACCATGCTGCTGTCCTGTCAATCCTGGGCCCTGATGGATGCTTTGGTTCAAACTTTGGCAGTGGTGGCTCCACATCTGGCTCTTCTGGATTACACCACCACTCTTGGTCATCATCACCATCACCACGTCCAGAGATAGCCTGCTTTGGCCGCTTACCGGCAGGCCCACGTCGTCTCTGCTGACCCCTCTTTGACTGTGATGGAGCTGGGGCAGGGGAGGGTGACACTCTTGTTGTAGATGCCGAGGCTCCCTGTGATCTGCGTGTCATGTATCTTGAGGAAGCAGAACTGCGCCTTGTCTTCCTTGCCGGTGGCACAAACTCCTCATCTTCATCATCCTCACTAGAAAGAGGAGACGTAGCTTCAGCTGGAGGGCTGGAGGGCTGGGGGGCTGCAGTGCTGCTGGTGCCAGATGGACCTGAGGTCTCATCCAGTTGGTCATCCTCTTGGCTTTGGAGACAAATGGAGACAAATGATGAGAATCATTCCACAGAACAATACATCTGCCCAATTCATAATAACGTGTTTAGCCAAAAGAGATAAATCTTGAGCTACTATGTACAAACACTGATTGAATAACACAGCATAAATAATGAAAAAAACAAAACAATAGTCCCACAGGCCTATCATACAAGCAGGTTGGTGAAATTAAATCAAAAACATAAAATTATAAGTCCCACTTTTAGCTATTATCAAATGTCTGCACATGTGGGACTAATGCCAGGTTGTAAAGGTTTTCAGGCTACGTGATAATAGTAAAAAAATCACTAACATGAAATAAATAAATAAACTCAGTAAAATATCAGATTTGGTGAAAGGTCAGGCTTGAAAAAGATCAGATCAGCTGTTAGAGTGAGAGAGTAGGTGAAATAAAACATGAATGTTTTCAGGCTATCTGATAATAGAAACAGAATCACTAACATGAAATAAATAAGTAAAATATCCGATTTTGTGAAAAACATGCCGACAAAACGCAAGTACAACAGAAAACAAAACTTCAAAGTAGGAGCCGTCATTTTGTGGCTCGTCCCTTTACAAGCTGGCGCTATTGTTGAAAAAGGTGAACTAAAACCAAAAAAATCGCTATTGTCTGCAAAATTGCCAACATGCTGCAAAGTTGTTCAAAATGTATAAGAAACACAATAACTTACTCATAAACTGGATCCCTGCTCAGCAGAAAAAAGGTGTCCTCCTCTTCATCATATTCAGCGTTGCTGCTATCAGATGAGTCTGTAACCTCGACATCACTTCTGTTCTGGATTTCGTCCAAGGCCTCCGGTATTGTGAATCTTTTTCGTTTTTGCTTCTCCGCCATCGTAAAACTACCTAAACTAACTAAAACTACAATACTTGAAAGTGCTCGCGCGTAATGCGTAAAGACCGCTTGTATCAACAATGGTTACGCATGGACAGATGGCGCGAAGTTACCTCTCGTTGGAAAGCTCGCAATGTGTAGAATATCACTGCTGTGTCTGCGATATAGGCCACCATGGCGTCTACTTTGATCAGAGAACTGTACGGATAGACTCAAAAGGACCAAGAAAGGGTAAGGAAACAGCATTTGTTGCTGTTGATGACAATTGCTTTGTTATTTGATGGAATATTGAGACATAAACACAGAATTTCACATTTTGACGATAAAATGCAAAAACCTCGCTGCGTCTTTGCTGCGGGGCTGACGTGAGCTGGTTATGTCGGATTACGTTTTGCTTGGCATCAGCAGAAAGATGAGCTTCTCTAGTTTAATGTGACACCTACCATGACTGAGTGGAGCGAGCGGATATATGTGTACTGCTGCGTTTCATTTCGACTGTCCCTTATATTCACAGAGCTGTTCTTTTTTGCCAAACAAACTGAGTTGAAGCTTCGTCTTTTGGAAACATTTGAAAGCGTTTTATTAACTTTTTACAGGCAGTAAAGCATTGTAGTGCTCGCCGGGTCCGTCGGGTCGACCAGGTCAACAACACCCAGCCCTACGATCCACGCAGTCAGATCTGCAGGGGAAGAGCCCCCCCCCACAGCCGGTACTGCCCCAAGAGGAGAGGAAGAGCTGCTGGCCGGTGTGGACTTAAGGCCGCTCCTGGCTAACACCTGGTTTTAGATGAACTGGGACTCAAACAACTTATTTATTATATATATATTATCTATTTAGCATCAGGAACTAATGGACACCCAGAACAACCGGATAAATGTGTGTTAATAACTGCACTTATTGATTTATTACAGACTTTATTCTGTGATCTGAACGATCTTGTTCTATGTGTGCATCGATAATAATCATAAGAGCTCGGAACAGAACAGATGAATGATTAATACCACAGCTGTTGGTGGTGTTGGACGTGTGGTTCGTGGTACCAGTTCCCCTTTAACCAAACGAACCGGGTCACACTTCAAACACTGGTGCTAAACATGCTAACGGTAGCTAAAGAGCGACACGTTGTCGGTGTTCAAATGCAGCGAGACGGAAAAAAGAACCGGACAGAGTGAGACAGGCAGACAGACAGACAGTAGAGGGTGAGACGGACTGCTTTACCTCAGAGACAGACTCATTGTTGGAGGATTTTAAAGACCCCTTGAAGTGAAACGTTGCCGTCGTTTAACGCAGCGACACAACAACACATCCGTTTGTCCGCCGACGCTTCCTATTGGTCGCCGGTTGCCAGGCAGCAGTGAGCTGTTCGCTGATTGGTTCACGTCACAACGTTCTGCTTCTATTCCTGGCGTATTGAACAACAGGATGTGTTTACATTAGTCCATTAAAAACAATAAATAATAATAAATAATGGATAAAAACATCATATATTCTACTCTATTCTATGAAAATAGCCCAATCTTTCCATTTCTTTTATATAAATATACACAGTATATATGCTGTAAACACTTTTTTATATATTTGTATATACATGAAAATATGTTGAGAGTGTTTTCTAAGCTGCTTTGATCAGCGACACAAACGTGAAATAAGTATTGACATTTTTTATATTTTTAAACTTCTACTTGTGTGTTCCTCAGGGAGTCGGGCAAAGACTTTCATTGTACGTGCAAACCTTCTTACTGTACATATGATAATAAACCTCTTCAATCTGGAATGTTTTAAATGTGAAATTCATTATACGGAAATCCATGAGCACCAAAGTAACACAGGAATGATCTGCCATAGTCTTATTTTTAATGTTATTATTTATAAGTAATTTATTATTAGTTTAACTAAACATTTTTTATAGTATTTCCTGTTTTCGTTGAGCAAGGCCTGTCCCATATAGACATAGTCAGGACTTACACAATCAGTGATTGCA